TATATTTATACTGTGCAATGGTAGAAACGTGTACTGTTTCTACTGCTGGAACTATTCAGGGTATGTGACAAATCAGGGCTGGATCCGCACGTCATCTCATGATTCTTGCGATTCGTGCATCATCTCATGATTACGCCTGCCTTGCAAGGTAATGTTGTTTGGGCAGACATGGAGGAAGAGAGAGGAGTCGTAAATACAAAAACTTGTAACACTTAATATTATTGAGCTCAGGTACATTAAAGCTTCCATCCATTTCCATTTTCTGTTACCGCTTATTACATTTTCAGTCTTTTGTTTTTAACGTTCTACTGAGCTGTATGTGTGTATCTAATATGTTTTTATTATCCATTTTGTGTTCATTGCAGGTTTAATGCATGTTCATAATAAACTGGTGGACCCAGTGCTCAGCATTAAGGACCAGTGAAACAGAGAGGATCACCAAGGAGGAGAGCTGAAGGGAAGACGGTCAACATGACTGGACAGCCTTATTACTCTGGTACTGTTCTCTGCCTGAGGACCGGACTGACTGTCCCGACCTGTGCGTATTGTTCATGCATACACTTGAACTGTCTTTGGATAATGTTACAGTTAATTAATGAGAGGTCAATGATATAAGGAGATATGCCCTCTGAGGTTCTTTGTTTAGCATTTAAAGGGATAGTGCCAGGTTACGTTTTCTAATCACAGCTGCTGGTCTTCACTGTTGTTCAGTATGCGAACATTAGAGATAAGATTTAAAGTCATGACAGTAAACATAAAGTCATTATTTTGTTTGGTGTGTAAAGACTGTGAATGAAACAGTACAGTATCTATTTGATATATTTTCTTTATTTTTCATCAATGATTCATCTCCCAGTTAGTGATTTGACAGGAAGAAGCAGAAACTTGGACCCTAATATTTGATCATTTGGATATCTGTTCATTGGTTTCAGTTTTCACTTTTGGGATTCAAATTTTTTTTTGTTTTCTTTTTGAGAAATGACAATAAAGAAACCATAAATACATATAAAAGTCAGTGTATTCCATACACTGACTTTTTTGTTTGTGGTGGTCCACCACAATACCAGCATGACCACCACATGTTGAATTTATAGATGTATTTTTTACCTTAAAATGGCCAGTGTTTTGATTTGCTCAGCCTCTCTTTGCCCCTCTCTCTCTCTCTCTCTCTCTCTCTCTCTCTCTCACTCTCACTCTCACTCTCTCTCTCTTTCTCTTTGTTACCCCGCCATCCCTCCGCCTCCCTGTCGCTAGGACATTACTGCTGCGGGAGTGTGAGCTCCACACTGGGGACAGTTGGTGAGAGTCTGCCTGGTCGCACACAGTGACGGGGCTAACTGTTAGCATCACATGGCTAAAGTTACCCAACGTTTGTTAACAAGGTAAACCACAGAGTCAAGTTGTTCCAGTGTCGGTGTGAGTTTGTTGGGGCCATTTAACAGCTCAGTGTCAAATGTTAACCACTGCTGCTATGTTAGCTCGTGCTAACCAGGCAGTCGTTGAACTGACACAGAGGAGAGTGCTCCGGAAATGGTCCATAAGTGCTGCGTCTCACCAGTTTAACACAAACACTAAATCGTATAAATATAAATCTTGAATTTGTTGGATGCTGTTTCTTCACCTAGAGGAACCTATTGATTAGTACAGAGGCTCATTGAGCAATTATGGAACTTAAAGAGTTTGGATTTTTAGAAGTGGGCTTGTATGAGGTATTTATCATAGTCAGTGTATTACCAACAGTAGATAGGAGAAGCAGGCAGGAGACCCAACACGGAAGCTTGATGTGGGCGGGGTTGGCAATAAATCAAGGATTAGCCACCTAAAAACGTCCTACCAAAAACAATAACAATTTATGTGTATGCTGTATTGAGAGTATTTTCACTGCTTTGACTTTCCATCAGACAGCAATTTCAGATGGAGTTATATGGAGATGAAGTTATATCACTCTCTTCAAAGCCAGACTCTACTGAGAAAAAACATTGATTTAACATCGCAGAACACAGGAGCTGTTGGTCTACTGCTGCCTCCATTAGTTAGGGTTTTTTGTGTTATTGTGTGACTTTGGTATTTGGCACTCACCAAAGTCACACAGTAACACAAACTAACTAACTGATAGAGGCAGCGGTAGACCAACAGCTCGTATGTTGAGTGAACCAAAATGACTGTTTATGTCAATGGAGTCTGATGGCTTTGAAGAGAGAATAGATATGGAACTGCAGCCGTTATTGGCTTCCCTATTGGAACAGGCTGTGTGACAGAAAAGAGGTGAAAACACTCTCAATATAGTGTGTATTCAAACTGTTAATATGTTTTGCTGCTGACCCCTCCAGCACAGTACATTATTTAGCTTCCATTTCAGCACTCCTACCCATTTTCCAAAATGAGTGCATACTGACACACATCTACTGTTGCTTACACACTGACTATGGGTAAGAACCTCAATCAACCCCACTTCAAAAAATCTGAACTCTCCCTTTAACATCAATAAATGTCATCAGAAGTGACCTTTGATTCTGGTCAAACTGTTGCTTTTGTAAAGTGTATGCATATATGTATCCAAGGAATGTGAATTGCATGCCGCTTTCAGCAGCTCCGTGCTTCCCCTTTGCTGATGGTCACACAGCCACAGTGCTCCACTGCAGGACACTAAACAAGTCAAACCTGAATTTTACATCAAACTTCAACATTTTACAAAACCTTGTTTAACGTCACAAAATCCCAACTCAAGGTCCACTTATTAGCTTTGTCAGAGCTTTTCTTTATCTACGAGTGAAGATGCTTCAGTTGCACCACGTGACGTCAGTATAAAACTTTAATCACATGTCAACAGTTGGAGGGTATGGTTTGACATGGCAACCTCTGTGTCTGTTCAAAGATGCTCTCTGGTGTCCTCCTTGATCTTTCTCTTGTCGTCCACTGACTCCTGCTCCATGCCCTTTGACCTCTGCTCAGTGGATGCTGTGAGTAGTTCTAGTCTGGTGTTCTCAGACAGCTGATATCTGTTTCTAATGTTCATACAGTCTCTAAAATCAGATTTCCAACAAAGCTAGTTAAGTGATTTTTTGGTTTGGATTATTTTGTCACATACTGATGTCAATGTAAAAACACCACATTTGATGTAGTTTTGTGCTGTTACTTGGTGTGCGAGCATGATTGCTAAGCAGCTGAGCGTCACGTTTTTTTCTCTTTTTTTAATGTATATTCTTTTTTTTTTCAAATGGGAATCAATGACTATTGATTGTTTCTCGGCACTAAGGGTCAGCAGCTCCTCTGCAGCAGTGGTCTGTCCCACCTCTAGACTGCTGTCCTGTGCATGCAAAGTGAATGTTGACTGTCAGTACTGTTGTATATCAGACAAAGTGTAAAGTAGACCTTGATGACATTATTCACCTCAGTGACTATCTAATGTATCTCTTTAACACTTCACTTTGGTCAGTAGCCTTTGCAGCATTTTCCACTGTAATGATGTCATTTATTTCCTTCTTAAGTGTTTGGTTATCACATTGTGTTCTTGGTTTTCTTTTATTCTTATATCACTCCCATTGTTCATCAGGCTGTTACAGTTAGGACTTCTAGTCAGTGTTTGTGCTCACATGCTGTAGTTTTAAACTCCTTATTTTCCAATGACAATAAAAAACTTTGCTAAGAATTATTTGTTCATACTACTTTATAAAAATACATATTATAATAATGCAAAGGGGATGCAGATAGCCTTTTTCCGACAAACAGTATCATCCTGGTAACACTTTTAAGCCCTCCACGTTGTGATGCACTTTCACTGTTTTGTCACATGGGGGCGGTCACTTCCAAGATTTGAACCAAGGGCAACCATGTGTACTCTCATGAGATGTAGTTAGATTAAAAAAAACTGGCTAAACATTTTTTTAAAAATTCTTATTTATTTATTTTAATTCACATACATAAATACAAGACAAAAGGGAAATGGAAAAGGTAAAAAAAAATGTCAGTTGTCAATACATTTGAATACAGTTCAAACTTAAATCTTAAGTAATTGTTGCATGAACAAGAGTTCCTAAGATCATTATTGTTATAAATCAAATGATTTTGACAGCAGAGCATTTCTAAGTCTCTTTATGTACAAAGACACAAGAATCCAGTAAATGAACATTTTCATTCCATAAAACAATTCCACAATATTAATTAAAAAAATTGACCATGGGATGTCTTATACAAAATAAGATGAATATTCTGAGCCTGGATAGTTGTGTAATTATGGAATTGTGAGTTATTAACGAAATGATATCTAAAACTACAAGGTAAATTTGTAATCTTATATTTCACTTACAAATCTGAAGAATAGTAATGTCAATACAATACTGCAGTATGTTCAGTATGGATAAATGAAACTATAATATAACATTAATAAACACATACTGTGTACAAAACCTCTGATATTTCTAAGAATCCCAAGAGATTTAGTGACCTCACTGCAGGAAAGACTAAGCTGTTCTCTCCGGGAGAGTATATCATCAACCATAATACCTAAAAAACATGTTGATGAAACTTTGATTATTTCTTCATTAAGAATATTAATGTCATGCTTCTTATCAGTGGTGTGGTAGTTGATGAGGTGGGTGTACTGCTAGGTAGATAGGTAGGTTAGGTTTTAAGGCAATTATGAAGTTTAATTAATTGATTACTTTCTTCTGGCTTCATCGATAAATACAACTGTGTATCATCCGCATAACAATGGACATTTACAGAGTGATTTCTAATGATGTTATCTAAAGGAAGCACCACTGCTTCTGATTCCCTGCAAACAACATGAAATTAGACTCCCCTCCTTTTGGGTGTGGATGAGGGGCACACTTTTAAAAATGTTGTCCCTCTGCCCGTGTTACTATTAAAAAATATAAATCAAGGACATAGGCCGAGAGACATAATTGTAATCAGGTGTGCTAATAATGTGGTTGAAGATTTGCACTTGAGTAAAGTAATAGGCTAGAGTAGAGCATTCAGTGGCTTTATTTCAGCTACTTGGCAACAAATTTAAACATTTGAAATGAGCGGCTGACAAAACACATTTAGACGAGACACAGTCTATAAAAAAAACACATTCACATTCTGCAGTGCCACCAACATCCTGCTCACTCAGAAATACTAAAAGAATGACGTTCTATCAGTGCTATCAAAAATATGAGGATAATTATTCGGTGATCCTACATATCTAAAGCTTTGTAACAATTTTTAGAGTTTAAACTGACATGACGCATTATGTGTGATAAATATTTTAGTGTAACTGCTTTAACAAACTGACAGCTGTCTGCAGTGTTATAGAAAAGGACATGCAGGGGTTGGATTCTGAGGTGAGGAGGCCTTCATGCTTCAACATTAGATAGTCCTGAGTAACAAACTAAAATCAAACCAGGTTCTCATTCTGACTGTTAACCTCGGCTAATGAAAGTACTTTGATAGGCACTTTCATATGGACAGAATCAGTGAGGAAATGACACACCATGTCTGGCTTTATCAGAGGGAGGAAACAGAGAGAGACTCAGGGTTTGCCGAAGAAAACCTGCCAGCAGCAGGTTCACAGTCAGGTGCCACAGTAACTGACCCAGAGTTTAACTCACCTCTTTTTCTGAAACCCAGGGTTAAAGGGCCAGTGCGTAATATTTGGCATGGTTTATTGTCAAATCTGAATCTGAATCTTCTACCCATTAACGTGTTTATATAAGTGTATAATCGCTATAAAATAAAATTCGTTTGGTTTTTGTAGCCTTATAATTATGCTTTTATATATATATAGCAAGGGCCTTGCTTTAGAGAGGTCGCCATCTTGCGCCGCCATGTACATACGGCAGACCGAGCGGACAATCCAGCCAGCCAGAGAACGCGTTTCCCGTGTATAAATAAACCAACGAAGACAGCGGAAGGAAGGAAGAAGGAGGAGGAAACAGCAGAGAGTGTTAGTAGTTCGTAGACAGAGAGTAGTGAAAAGTTTTTTTAGTTATAAAGTTTGGGAATGGACCACACTTACCACGCAACAGGAGAGAATGAACCCGAACTGTCATCTGCGAGGAAGAGAAGACGCAACTTCACCCCTTGTGATGCACTCTCTGCTGCGCTTTTCCTCCTGGTGATGTATCTCCCAACGATGGTAGCATCGAATCCCATTCTGTGCAGCCAAATGGGAGCAGAGGATTCAGCCTCTCTTCTCGCCCGCTCAGCATCTAAGTTCCTCAACTGTATGCTCCGGCTCAAACAGGTATGGCTCTGGGTCTGTGTCTGCTATAAGAAACTCTTCAAAAACAGCTGAGCTCTGTTTACAGGCTACGCTGTCAGTCAGTGTGCGGGCTGGAGATTGGTGGAGCAGAGAGGGGGAGGGGGTACCCGCTTGGTATTGTAAACGAGAATGTGTGTATGGAGTGTGTGTGTTACGCTAGAAGAGTCAGAGTTTGGGACGGAGTCTTTTACTCCCTGGAGTGTTACCGGAGTTTTTGGAGTGCTCAAATAAACTGGCCTTTTTCCTGAACGCTACTCTGGTCTCCTGCTCGTGAGGGATTCATTACAATATCATAACATGGTTTAGATTTCTAAATAAACATTCACCTCGTCGCTAGATAGACCTACTCCTGAAAAACTCATGTCTGCGCAAGGCTTTTTGTCCCTACGAGGTCACCGTCATTTACCCGACGGGAGGGGTGAGCAAGTGAGCCCTGCAATCTAGAATTTGACCACTGATGTCACTGTTTTCAACGGTTTTCAACCCATTTTACACAGTGGCCCTTTAACTAACTCAGAGCTTCCACTAATCCTGCTTTATGGAATACACCCTAGACATATCTGTTTTTGCATAGTCATGTTCAGGCATTAAAATGAAGAGTTTTCAACAGTTGTACACTAATACACTCTACACTATTTTAGATGCTGTTCAGGTATTGAAATGAAAAGTTTTCTATTTCATTACACTCTTGACACTGAAATAAACCCAATGTCCCCATATGAGGGCACTACCCACTGTTCAGAGACTATGCTTAGTTTATTAAACTTATCAGGTCCTGCTAATCCCTTATAGCTAGAAGTTATAAATTCATACCAAAAAAAAAACATGGTAAACTGTTTCTGAAAATCAAACCCATTTTTGTAGTCTGTCCAGTAATAGTACAGTATGGTCAACTGTGTCACATGTCGGCCTACACTCTCACCTGAATCAGCTGAATATCATTCAGAACCTTACTTTGAATGTCAGTGCTCTGGTGGGGCCAAAGTGCAGACCAAAATCTGCAAAGAAACAAACAGTCTTGGACATCAGCACACTTGGTAGTTGTTTTTCTTTGGAATAAAGCCTTGCTCTGGATAATGCAGTATGGAGTGTTAAGTTAGCACTGGAAATACAGCAAGCCTCCATATGCGCTGGGAAAAGTCTGCACACACACACATCAGAGGGAGGTTTCATTTACTGTTACATGTACCTCACACATCTGTTGCAATTACAGCCAGCAGATGGTACCAGTGTAACATCACACTATGCTGTCCTTTTGGTTTAATTTTATTGGACTCTATTAAGTTATGGCTGTAATGGAAGCTGGTAATCATTAATAACATGTCAGAGCTGTTTGAGATCAAATGAAATAATACGATGCTTGATGGGAACAAAATCCAAAAGTGTCAAGGTGTCCTCCTGAGTATAATCAGTCCTTGAAGTTTTAAACACTTGACTTCAGCTCTAACTGTGTATTTTAAGTGGACACACAAACAACAGCACATCCACTGTTATGCTGCCTGCTCGAATCAGGTTCATGAGTTCAGTGTGGTTCACAGCAGCAGTCTGACACTGTAAACAGTGCTGCGTTTGCATTTCAGCACCTCTGAAATTCATGCTGCTGATTAAATATGACATATATAAATACTGAGTAATTACTTTATTATGATGCAGTGAGGCCTGATTAAACAGGCAGCGGGGTGACAGCAGCCCGTCCTCCTCTGTGTTTTATTTTCTTCTGTGATGGAGCGCTCTGACAGTTGCTTTTCGCTTCTCTAATTTGAATGTGTGATGAAGCACATAGAATACAGGTCCTTCTGGAGGTGATGTGGAGGGAAATACATTCTTTGTTGTACAACAATGGCCAAACTAAAAATAGAAATGGTGGTTCAATGAAACAGCATGTATGAGCTTTATTGAGGCGGATGGTTTATCTAAATATAATCAAAATGATGAGGATTGAAACTTGCACCCCTTACAGACTGACTGACAGGTATTTCAATACAAAGACTAACAAAAGACGACTAAATGTCACATTTGGTGTTGCACCCTTATAGCTGTGAGTAACCCATTCTCAAACCCAGGTCGTAATATAGTGATGCACAGGGCACCCTTTAGCATCTCTATGTGACGCACAGCTTAAACACATTATAAAAGGTGGTTAATGTCCAATGATCACGGTAATGAGCAGAGACAGAGGAATGAAGTGAAAATAATAACAGAATATGAGTCTACAGATTAACAGATGATTTGTGCTGATTACGATTTAACAGAAGTCTTTGGTGCTCGGACAATAGAGGGAGATCTTCTGTGATTGAGGGAAATCTGAGCAGCAGCAAGATAAATCCCTCCATAGAGTCCAGACACTGGTGGAGGTGGTGGCTGATGACTCTGGGGTTGATGGCTGATGAGGCGGATGGGGC